TGTGACCTCCTAGGCTTTCCAGCCCAGAGCCGTTCCGGAAGGGGTAACTGTGAGCTGTGAACAGCCAACAGAGTGGGTTTTTCTGGGGGCGAAGAGATTAATCTGCCTGGGGCACCATCAGTACCCAACTTACCTCTGTTTGTTCCTGTACTGCTTAGGCAGCCCAAGTGAGTCCCCTAGGTCAGCGGAGGAGCCAGTTTCTCTGACTCCAGAATCTACATTCCTTACCGCCTTCTCAAGGCCATGGGTTCAGGAAATGAGAAGAACCCTGTTAGGAGAAACCAGGACCCAGGGTTCTGCTCTCAGACACGTCTCTGCTGGGCCGTCCTTGGCCCCGGGTGCCTGCTTCTGCATGTGGGGGCAGGGCTTCTGAATTTGGGGGCCTCTTGGCACCCAAGCAGCATTCCCTGGGGGAGCCCTGGAGTTTCCCCCTGCCTCACACAGGTCTCACCTTTATTAATAGTGTGGCTACCATTAATGGCCATTCTGTTAGTAGCTCAGGGGATCTTGTTGGAGTCCTGTCTACAAACTCACTCTGCTGCCCAGGGAACAGTAGCACTAGCAAAAGGCAGCAAGTGCAGCTGAGTAGGGCAGGTGGCCCTGCATGGGCAGCAAACGGGGGATGAATATCTGTTGAATTAATATGTTTACGGGCATGGGGATTTGGTTTTCAGCTTGTACCTGGAATGCAAAGACCAGGCCACTTTTGTCTCTGTGCCCATGACCCAGCCAGCCCTCCTACTCAGGAAGGTATTGAAGTAGATATCTACACAGAAGGGCCCTAAAGATGAGAGACCATTGCTTCTGGCTGGGAAGCCATGGGGCAGCTGTTGAGGTGAACATGGAGGGAGTGGTCATGGCCTCTGTTATGGCTGACTAGAGCTGAGGGGGAGCTGGTGGGAAAAGCTTGACATACAGGGGCTTCATTCTTAAGTCACCCTCCACAACAGGCTGCTGTTGTCGCCTCTTGCAGACTCTAGGAGTGGGGTCACTGTCCCTACCCATTAGCCTGAGGCTACATGGGACAATTCAGCTAAGCTTTGCTACCTGGGTAGGCTTCTGCCTGAGGAGGCGGCCCATTCCTGGGCCAGGGCTGGGCCTCACGAGAACAGAAGTTGGCAAGTGGGGCACAATTTGTCCTGGAGCAGCAGTTTCAGCTTGGAATGATGTATTCGTGTGACGCTTTGAACTTTGCTGCTCTTTGCTTTCTGCAGACACTTTTGAGGGCACACAGGCCTCCAGGCCTCTAACAGGCCCATGCAGTGCTCTTTGTGGGAACAGTCTGAGCTGCTAGGAGAGGCTGGGCGGGACTCTGCCCGGGGGCGTGGTGGGCCCAGGCAGCTGCGGACCCGCGTGTGGGTGCACTCTGGGTGTCTACTCACCAGGGCATTCTGGGCAGAGCACACAACTGCCCCATTGTGGCAGCCACATTCCTCCCTGGCAGGTGGGATGTGCCACCAGCTGGGGCATTCAGTGGTGGCTTTTGGTTTTCACAGTGGATGAAATAGCTGAGTTTTGTGTCAACAGAGTTTTCAGGGTGACACCTGGATTCACAGCCAAGAAACAGGTGCCTTTGAGGATGGATCCCGTGGGGGAGGGGTGTCCAGTGGCATCCTGTGATTTGCTTATAACAAAATTCACCAACTGAATCTTGCGTTTTTTTTTGCCTTGCTGTGAAACAAAAAGGACCCAATTATTCCAGGCAGCTGGCACAAGGGTGGCCCTGGGGTGCCTTGGCCACCCTTATCTGACACACAGTCCTGAGCCCAGAGGTTAGGGAGTCTTTTTTGAAGCCATGGTGCGATGCAGGGCCGAGGCTGCACCTGCAACAACCTGTCTCACCTTGGCCCTCTCTGAGTCCAAGAAAAAGGTGTCCCAGCACCCTGCTGCAGGCTGTAGCCAGTGCTTAGGGCCTTAGAGTGGGTAAGTTAGGGAATATAGAATTTATTTCTTAGCTCCAGGGGCCTCAAGTATGCAGCAGTTTCCATGCCTGGTGAGGGCCTGTTCTTCATAAATGGTACCCTCTGGCTGTGTCCTTACAGGGCAAAGGGGCACATGAGCCCCCACTGGCCCTTTATCAGGGCACTAATCCCATTCATGAGAGCTCTACCCTCATGAGCTAATCTCCCAAAGGCCCACCTCTTGCACTGAGGATTAAACATCAGTGTATGAATTCAAGGGGACACACATACTCAGACCCCCGGTGCCATCACATTGGCCATGAAGTCAGGACCTCCCACTGCACCTTAGGTCATTTTCCAGACAAGATCAGGCAGGATGATGACTCCAGCAGAAATGAGAAAGTGAGCATAGCCGCAAGCACTGAGCACGGGGTACTTTCTGTTCAGGGTTTATAACCCTGCCCCCCTTTCCCTGTTCTGTATGTCACAGAGAACAGGGGCACTAGACAGACATGGCCATACCCACTCACTCCTGGCAGCAGTGCCTGTCACCCACCCAGAAGCCAGTTGGAGTATGTTACTCAAGACATTGGGCTCAGACTGGACTTTGTATTTCTTCTTACATACCTGTCCAGGCAGGGAACAGGCAGTATAGCCAGGGATAGGAAAGGGTAGGTCTGACTCCTGAGGCTTGTGAGTCCTGACCCGTCCTGGCCTCACCCTCGGCCTCCTCATCCAGGGCAGCTGGCCCAGGGACACACAGCTTGACACACAGGCTGGGCCCTCATCCCTCTTTCTTGTGCCCTGTCCTCCTTGGGCTGCTCAAGAGAGTGGCTGAGGGTCAGAAGGGACCACAGAGACTTTCCCTTCCCAGGCATCTAGGGCCTCCGCCTTGCCAGGTGTCAGGTGTACCTTTGGAAAATGCTGACCCTTTTCCCCAGCTTGACCTGGGAGTGTTGCTGTGCTGGGAGGAATGTGCTCTGTGTGCACAAGGGTTGCATCGAATCCCAGCACAGCCCAGGTTGAGGCTTGCATCCGGCTTTGGGGCGCTCCGTGGTCTGGGCCAGCATCTCTGGTTGAATTGGTGGCCCAGCCTCTCTCCTAGGTCCTAGTGCTGTCCCCAAGTCTTTCCCTTTTTCACGCAGTCAGAACATTCCAAGAGCAGCTAACCCATCGGAAGAGTTTCCTCTGTGGAGCGCCCCGAAACAATGAGCGTGACCCTGGCAAGCGCAGCCAGCTTCCTCCAGAGAGTGCCTTTTATTTTCCATCTGCTGAGCCTATTGCAGCAGCTCATTTGCTGTGACAGCCAGTGGTCATCTTTATTTCAGAGCGACACACACACTACAGCCTTTGAAAGGATCAGGGCCCTTGGGACAGGTCTGTGATCACAGCATCGGCGGGCATGTGGGATGGGAGACAGCAGGTGCTCCAAGTCCTGGCTGCAGCGAGACCAAAGCCTGTAGTTCCTCTCCCTTGCCTCTGTGTACAGCTCTTCCTTGTCAGGATGTCTGGGGCTGAGCCTGGGCCATGAGCACCTGCACTGCCATAGCCTTTATCATGTCTGCTGCTGCACTAAGCATCTGTCTCTGGGGAGCTGAGGGCCCAAATTTGTCTGCCTTGAAAGCTGTCGTGTAGCTGCACCCACCTGTGCACTGTGTCAGGCCTGTGCCCTCTTCGGTGGGTAGCTCCAAGCAGGACTGGCCTGCACAGCCTCCAAGCTACATTCAAGCTGCAGCTGCTGCTCGGGTAGGCCTCAGTGCAGTGCTGGCAAGCAGGAAAGCTCTCATACAGTCATGCTCTTTCTGGGGCCTCCAAGGGCCCTGTGAGAAAGGCAAGGACTGTCATAGGCCTCTTTCAGATGCAAAGTCCCCAGCTGGCAAGTACCACAAGCATCCTGGAGCTGGGCGCTCCTCTGGTGTGTCAGTGGGGCTCCCCCTCCCACACAGTGTCTGTGGAAAGCCCTCTAGAGATCAGCATCTACATCTCCAGACACGGCCTAGAACTTAGAGAGAACTGGCTCCCTGGATAGTTCTGATTTGCACAGGCTTGGGACATCAGTGCACCCAGGAACACACGCAGAAACCCAGCCTCTGTCTTACCCTGGCCAGCTGTGGGAAGTGGGTGGGGTGGACACTGCAGCCCACGTGTACAGCAGCGCAGCCTGGAGATATTTCCATTTAACTCAGACCCCTTCTCACGAGGACATTGCTTTGTGTCATCTGGGCTCAGTGTTGCCCTATTTTGGGCAGTGGCTGTATAGATCACGTCTGAAAATATACACTGTATCTGCTATCCTTGCAGGGCACTTGAGTTACTCTCTGTTTTTTGGAATGACTGACAGTGACTAGGAATATTTGTGTAAGGGCTGAGGGTGTAGTTCAGTGGTAGAGCATGTGTTTAACATGGGCAGAAGCCCCCTCCCCAATATTCATGTTGGTAAATTTTTGCATCTATCTTAAATTGTCCTCTTAAAATAAAAATCCTACTACATTTGGATAGGCTTGCATGGGTTCTGTATCCTTAAATTCAGCCAACCTTGGATTAAAAAAAATTCAGAAAAAAAAAAAAAGACATCCATACTAAACATGTATAAACTTCATTTTCTTGTCACTATCCCCTAAATAATGTAGTATTACAACTATTTACATAGCATTTACATTGTAATAGGTATTGTAAGTAACCCAGAGATTATTTAAAGTATATGAGAATATTCATGGGTTATATGCAAATACTGCATCATTTTACATAAAGGAACTGGGCAGTGAGGAGAGTCACGGAACCAATCCCAGATACAGAGGGACACTGGAATTGCTGCACTGAGGGTCATCTTTCTGAGAGGTGTACAGGAAGTGTTGTGGGTCTGCTTCACTGCGGCTTCCCCAAGCTTGTTATTTACCTTCTTGCTCTTTGACTGTTAAGCAGGCGAATGGCTGAATTTTGCACTTCTTTATCAGCACAGTGTTCACTGGCCGGCAGTGTTTCCTCATGAGTGCAGTCTGGCAGACCAAGTACCAGCCGGGCTTTGGGTCAGCTTTGTGGGGTGCGTGGTTTCGGGAGAGAGTGGCCCTTTTAGTAACCTGTGTGTCTGCCCTTCCACAGAACTGTCAGACCTTCAGCAGCCTCAGCTGCCTGAGCACAGGGATGGAGGACTACAGCCCCCACAGCCCCTTCGCTGTCCACGCCAGCAGCACCCGGTCCTGGGCCACCTTGCTGTCAGCTTCCAGCCCGGGGGGCAGGACCCCTGCCGGGACCCCAGTCCCCGAGCCTTTTCCCCACTCCTTTGACGACCGCCTCACCTGCCAGGAGGACCTGTCCTGTGAGGAGTCAGACGGCTGCGCCCTGGATGAGGATTGTGGCAGAAAGGCAGAGCTGGCCCCAGCCTGGCGGGACTGTGGGGCCGCTGGAAACAGCCTCTGCTCTCTGGATGGCGAGTTGGACATTGAGCAGATAGAGAACAACTGAGGGGCCCGGGCCCTGGTCCAGCTGGGGGTTCTTCCCTCTGGGCCCTATGTGGACACTTGTAGGGCGACCCCAGCCCCTTCCTGAGAGGTTTCAGGTCCCAGGGAAGAGCTGTCTGGCTCCGTGAAGGCTGGCCTGGCCGTGCCCCACAGTGGGACATGTCCGCCTCTCACCAGCTGTCAAGCACGTCGGCCAGCAGGTCCACGGAACTACTGTAGCCCACAGAACAGCTTTTTGGTTTGGTCTTTTCTGCCTTGTTCCTTGTGGGATGTTGGGCAGTTACTCCCGGCAGGTCTAAGCCCACACTGGACCCCCGATGGGGATGTGGTGGTGGTGGTGGGGGGCTCAGGGCTGAGGCCAGGTCCATTGGGCCATGTCTGGGCTCTGCTTGGCCTCGCTCAGGTTCACTCTGGGAGTCGGACCCAGTCTTTCACTCAGTTTATTCTGTGCCTTCTTTCCCAGGTCTCTCTGCTCCCAGGAAGGTTTGGGGGACACTCCTTCTGTAGTAACACCAGAACCATTTGGCCTTAATCCCACACGGGGGCGCTGGTGCGGCCCTCTATAGAGAGTAAGCCCAGGTGTGGACTCTAGGTGCCAGGAAACAACTCTGCTCGTTGGAGGCCATGCGCATTGGGTAGATGCTTTGATCTACTGGCTGAAAGGCAGATCCACTTGCCTCTCAAGGTCACAGAGCACCTGCTCCCTGCCCTGCCCCTTGAGGGGCTGCCTTGGCTGCTGGTGACAGCAGCCATCTCCATGGCTCTCCGGTCCCTGAGTCACCAGCTTGGTTGATTCAGGCTAGTGAAGAGACATCATGACAAAAGGGCGACTTCTTAAACGTGCCCTCAGGAGACAGGAATGTGAGCAGGTGCACAAATCCAGGCCCTGAGCAGGTTTCAGGGGTGAAGGATGTCTGTTCTTGGGGCCCAGGGAGGGCCTCTGAGCCCCCTGTCGTATCCCCAGCATTTTCTCCAATGTTCACAGGCTCCCAGGCTTTAGTCAAAGTGCACTGTCCCCTGCAAGACATGCAGACCTGTCTGCTGAGGGAGCCAGGCTTAGGTGCTGCCTGCCTAAGGCAGCCGCAGGCACCAGCGTGGCTCAACTCAACCTACATCCTCCCCAGCCCCTCTCCCCGGGTGCAGCCCGCCCCTCAGGCTGTGTGCTCAGGAGCCCCCAGCGCACCTCACACATACATCACAGGCCTCTGCACTCTGGGAATCTGGCTTTTAGCAAACTTGGCATCTACAAACAATAGCAAGCGGGCTGGCTTATGAATGAGTGGCTCATTTTCCCATGAGGCTGAAAATCTCCAGTGTGTTCCCTGGTGTTCACTGAGATGTGATCAAGACACTTTTGCAGTCCCTTTGCTTTTGCTTCCCTTCCATGGACCAGAAAACACCTCATGTCTGCAGGTTGACTACAAATGTTTCTCATCTTTCTCCAAGAAAGAAACTGGTTGTAAAACTTGTTTAAACCTTCACATTTTACTGTACCAGAGGGGTAGAGGCCCTGGTTCTGATTTGTAGGTGGTGTTTCTTTAAAATCAGCCAGAAGATGCTTGTAGGAAGCCCCTCCCATGGCCCGCAGAGGCCTGAGAAGCCAAACCAGACTTCAGGCAGCTCTGGGTAGACAAAGACATGGTGCCTCCTCCCTGCCTACCAGTGGTGGAGGCCCTGTCTTCTCAGAGCAGGTCTAGAGGAGGAGGAAGGTAGTTGAGAGGATGTGCCAGTGCCTTTTCCCCAGAAAACCAGGACGGGAGTTCTGGTACCTGGTGTGGCCATACCGAGAGTGGTGACAATGGGAGCACAGCCCCCAAAAACCTTCCTGTGGAAGGCAGAGGAACGCTTCCATCTGGTCCACTCTGCAGGGCCAGCTAAGGCCAAGGCATGGCGCAGCCACCGGCTGCCTCTCTAAGGGCCAGGATAGGAGGCAACTGCTGGCAAGTGTGTCACAGAGCTGTAGTACGGGTGACTTGTCCTCAGACCCTACCCCCCTGTGGCAGAAGGACAACCAGTGGAGCTCGCTGAGTCACAACCACATCCTCCTCACCTCCGCCAGCCCCAGGGTACTTAAGGACAGAAATGCCCAGGCCGATGGCGCATTTGGCCCTTTCCAGCCTCACAGGCCCTTCTTAACTGTTCCTATTCCACTAACACTCCTAGCCCAGGCACACAGCAGCGGCAACTACGGGAGAAGATGGTGGTGTCCTTTCGGGTTACGGAAAGAAATGACCTCCAGTTTACTTCCTGGTTGTCTTTTGACTAGACAGAGTAGGCCCCATCTAGGAGGTGTCCCGCTGCCTTCTCAGCGGCCACACCCGTCTGTGTTCCCCTCTGCTGGCTCCAGAACTCCGTCTTGGTCCTGCTGGGCAGGAAGAGCACCCGGGAGGCCTCCTGCGGCCCACCCTTCATGGTTTCCCCATGGGCAGTGCGCAGGTGGGCTCAAACTCCCCAGCACGGTGGCCTCAGCTGGCGGCAGCAGCAGAAGCCTCACCTTGTCGGGTTTGACTGTGAGTCCTGCCCTGGATGGAGGCTGAGAAGGTGCAGGCCTCGCAGAGTAGGCTGAGCCAGGCCAGCTGCCTGCCTGGAGGCCTGGAAGGATGAACGTGAAGTAGGAAGAGGGGTTTCCTGACACATGGTGTCCCCATTTACTCCAGAAGCCAGTGAACTGACGGGAGCTGCCTTCTGTCTAGGTGACCAGGCCTGGGTCGGGCCGCAGCCTAGCCGTTTACATGACTGCAAACCCTCTTGCCTTATTCTTGGGCAGTGGAGGCCAGAGCTTGGCCCAGAGCCCAGGAAAGACTCACATCCAGGCCCCAGAGAGCTTGTTCTTACCGTACATAGGGATTTTCCTTCTCAGAAAGCCTTACTTTTGAATAACACTTTTGTATCAGGAAAGTTTTTGGATTTGTACGCTGAATGAAATTTTAAGTAAAGGAAAAGGCCACATAAAAATGAAGACCAGTTTCCAAATGGGGGCTCCTAGTACAGATGAGTATGATGCTCTGACACTACCAAGGGGCATTCAGGGGTCTGCCTGAGCAAGCTTCTACTGCAGTTAAAGCACACCCTCGGTCCTGTGCTCCACGTGTACCTGGTGGCCATGGGGTGGCCAGCCGAACACCTAGGGCTCTGGGAGCCCTGCACGGGCACTCTGCCCGCACAGGCCGTGACGCTGCGCCTTGCCACATCCACGCTGCTGACCAAACCCCTCCCACTGGTGCCAGAGAAAAGCGCGCTTCTTAAAGAGAAAGGTGGTTTTACAAGTTGCAGCCCGAAGTGGAGCGCTCGTAGCCTAGGTAGGATAGTCGGACTTTCTAGCATAGTTTTGTTGGCAAATGAATTGAGCTGTCAGTGCGTGGGGGCGATGTTGGGAGTTGGGGGACAGACCACACGTAGGCCACACTAGGATAACACGCATTTCTCCCATCCATGCGGTGTCATGTTGCAGAGCTTCAGGAATCACCGTGGCCTGGGTAGTGCTGTGCCAGGTCCCTGCTAGAGCCAAGGTCCTCTGCACAGAGGCACTGGGTCTGTCCTACCACCGCTGCCCTCCGCATCCTGTCCTCCCACGCAGGCCATGACTGTCTTGCACTAGAGCCGCTCTAGTCTCAGGAATTTGCTTGTTACTTTTACTGTGTAAATAAAGCTTCCTGGTTCAATACCCAGATGCCTGGGTATGGCTGTATGGTTTCTGTTGGGTGTGGTGAACCAGCAGGTCCTCTCCCCCTCTCTGCCCTCTGGGCTTGGAGAAGCACAGACCTCTCACAGTCTGTCTCACAGAGCAGGAGACAGGCTTCCCTGCAGGATGGCTGTGGGAATAGCTGCGGGAGTAGCTGTGGCCTTGGGGAGCCTCCTAGAGGCAGGCAGGTCAGTGCCCAGCATGCAGGGGTGTGAGAGCCCAGCCCTTTGTACCATTCGGGAGCCAGCAGGCAGACAGGTGCTTGCCCATCTTCAGCCCTGCTGAGCGGCAGGTCTATGTGCAGTGAGTGCACTCCACGTTTTGCCCCCAGAGAAGTATCAGCCTGACCTGGAGCTGCGAGACCACCAGGACAGCCCAGCAGGTGGCACAGGCTGGCCTGCCAGTTTCAGGGTCTCTACCTGCAGCGTAGCTCCAACCTCAACTCCTTGGGCTGTGGGGACAGAAGCATAAATAGCTCAACTCAGCATGGACACATGGTCCCATTTCTGGCCCTTCAAACCAGGTGCCACAGGGAACCAAGCTCAGGAAGGACAGTGTCGGCAGCCCCAAGGAGAGGCGTGGGGTGGTGTATTACATTCTTTTAACCCATCATTTGTTCCCAAAATCTGTCCTTGGAGTTTTTGCCTCAGCCAGCTCCTAGGGCCTGAGGATCCTCTTGGAGTGAACCCTGGAGTGCTTTTCCTTCTGGGTTGTTTTCAACAGCAAATCCCATATTACACAAAATGGTCTATGAACACTTAGTTCGAGAAACAGGTGAAGCAAGACTCCTGGGATGCGGTGAGCCCTGTCCCCCTGCAGCCCTGCAGCAGCCAGGGCCCAGTGGCCCACTGATCCTAGGCGGTAGCCTGGCCTTCCCAGCCCCTCCTCTGCCTTGCATATCTGGTGTGTGCCTGGAGGGGCAGAGGCCAAGGGGGGTTTCTGTCAAGCACAGTGGGCCCCCTGTGGTACCCGCCTAACCATCTGCCACGGCACAACACGGGGGCAACAGCAGCCAGGGCCAGGGTAGGGGTAGCCTTCCAGAAAGCACTAAAAAGAGGAAGGAAGGCAGGACCAGACCTTGATTTGGTTCTCTACTCAGTCCCTTACTGCTTGATGGCCCTGGGGCAGGTAAGTCACTTTATCTGTGTACCTCAGTTCATCTATAAAACGGGGAGAATGACAGCATCTACTTCATTAAGCCTGCTGCAGCTCAGAGGGCAGAGTGTTCTCTGCCAAGATGAAGCCAAGGTCTAGGTACTACACCGAAGCAGCTCTTGAAGAGGAGTCTCAGTTCACCTCAGAGACCAGCCTCTTTCCTCCACGGGGGGCAGCCCTGGCTGCAAGCGCTTGCGAAGGACAGGAAGGCAGGCCAGCTAGGAATGAAAGGAAAAGGGAAAAACAGACTCACAGCACACAGTCCCACTGCGTTCGCCCTCCAGCTGCGCCGGGGGCCACACCCAGGACCTGCACCTCCTCCTGTCCTAACGAGCCATGATGGCGGCTCTCTCAAGGAGCAGCCATCTGCGTATTTTCCAACTAACAGGCCAAAGGCCCTCCCTCGAATGCCAGTGCTACTAGCTTGGCTGGTGGCCCCTCACCTTGATGAAAAGACTTGGCCACCGTTTCCTCCTAATCCTGACTGAATGGTGGCCAGCTTGCCCACAAGGTCCTCGTCACCTCAGGGCTACCGAGCCAAGGGGACTCTGGCTTCAGGGTCCAGTGCTTTATCACTGCCTGCTTGGTTCAGTGGAGTCCTGTTATGGAGGGCCTCTGACTTCTTTTATAGGCAGCTGCCTCCTAAGATGTCTCAGCGGCTTTGGGGAGAAACAGCAGTGAAGTTAACCACTCAGCAGACCGACTGTGAAAGCTGAAATGGATGAGGAGTGAAGAGGGGTACACAGGCCCCACAGCCTTGGTCTGGAAAACGCTCTCTCGACTGCCGGTCCTCGTTAGTGCAGTGCTGTGGTCGAGATGTGGTTTAAGTGAGTTTCCTCAAAGGTCCATACACTGAAGGCCTGACCACCCAGGCTGGCAGGAGCTGCGAGGGCCTTTAAAAGATGGAGCCTAGTAGGGGGTCCCTAGGTCAGGAGGGTACGTGCCCTTGGCAGGGATTTTGTACCGACTCTTGCTTCTTTCCTCCCCATATGACCTCTTGCTCCTACTTGTGCTCCTGTACCAACATGCCACGAGGCCCACGCCGAAGCCCAGAGGATACAGGTGCTTTGCCCTGTGTCTCCAAAACTGAACTAAATAAGCCTAAAGTAGCCTGCTTCCATTATTCTGTTGAAGTAATGAAAAATGAGGTAATGGGGGAAGGCAGTGCCAATGTTTGCCCTGGTCTGCCTTTTCCTTCTGGGCCTCAGTTTCCTCATCTGCTAAAGAGATCAGGAAGTGGTTTCATGCCCTTGCCCCTCGGACATTCAGTGGCTCCAGCACATAGCAGGAGCAGGGACATTGTGTGAGACCCTGCCCAGGTGCCCCTTCCCATACCCTACAGGACCCTTTCTGGCAGTCAAAGCCGGGACAAAGGCTGCTGTTCAAGGCCAAGTTTATTGAGCCATTGACTTCTACACATGGGCACAACACAGTCGAGTCTACCCAGTGCTGGCTCCAGAGTACTTCCTGTGCCTGCAACCTTCATGACAGAGGATGAGATTCTTGCTGTAGAAGAGGGTATCTTTGAAGTGCCCCCAGGAGCTGCCCCAGCCTTTGTCTGCTATGCTGACTTGTGGGGATAGGAGAATCCAGAAGCTCGCATTATTTGTGGGGAGGGAGTGCTCATCAGCCACTCACATTGGATGGGGTCACTGAACAGGGGAGGCTGGCTTAGCTCCGGGGTGCATGATGTGTGCACAGGCAGCCCTGAGTCTTCTCCAGGCTCTCCAGCCAGATACTCAGAGTGTGATGAAGAGGCGGTGGGCAACTCACCTCTGCACGCGGTCAGGTGCAGGTGAGGACTCAGGTCATTCCCAGAGGGGCTCACGCAGCATGCCCAGAGAGTTTTCATTCTCTGGAGGCCAGCTCATCTGAGCCACTTCCTGGACCTCACCATGGGGACAAACATCCATCCAGCAGGCTGGGAAGGGGCCTGGCTGGTTCTGGCCCAGGGTCAAAGCAGCCCAGAACTTTCCTCACCTGCCCGTGCCAAGCATGGAGGTCAGGGGCAGTGGTGGAAGGGGCTGAGCCCTCCCTGAAGGCCTGTCACTTGTCCAAATGCTGCAGCAGCAGGTCCACGGCCTCCGCAAGGTTGTCCACGTATCCATCAGCTTTTACTTCCGGATGGTGCTCATCGCTGGGCCTGGAGAGTGGGCCACAGGTTAATGATGGAATATTAGTCCCTTTTTCATTGCTATACCAAAATACTTAAAGAAGAGTGTTTTAAGTTCAGTTTTACAGGCTGGAAGTCCAAGGTAAGGCCACGGCTTGGCCTCTGTTAAGGGCCTAATAGCAGATGGCATCATGGCAGAAGAGATTCGGGGGTCAGGTCAGGCTTTCCCAACAGCACACTCTTGAGAAAACTCAGTCATGCTCCCCTCAAGGACCACCTCAGTCCCACCCGAAGGCAGTGCGCCAATGACCAACCACTAGGTTCCATCTCTTAAAGATCCAGCCCCTTCCCACATTGGAGACCAAGCCCCCAGCACGTGAACCCTTGCCTGCGTCCAAACCTTAGCAGCCAATGACTGCAAGGTGACCCCACCTTGGTGGCTGCAGCAAAGGTGCTGTCCAGAACCTACTGCGGGTCTAGCCTCACCTCCTCCCACCTGCACAGGCACGCGTGCCTCCCTCCTGAAACTCCCTCCCCCGGACACCTCCCTAGGTTGTCTCCTGTTAGGTGCTCGCAAAACGTGTGGCCGGCAACCACTGGCCTTGGCTCCATCTGTGCGTGCAGCGGTAGCAGCACTGGTGACAGCAGGATCCTGAGCTTGGCTCCAAGCTCTCTGGGGACTCAGCCCACAGCCCCGGCCTGGCCTGTGCTGGGCGAGGAGCCAGCACACGTGCACAGTGGGGACCCAGAGCTCTTGCTTGCCTAGACACTAGACAAGGTATCTGTGGGGCCTAGGTATCTGTGACCATCTGGTCAGTGCCCTCTGAAGCCACTCCTGCCTGACACGGAAGGTGGAGGCTCCTGGAAAAGCCACTCTCTGGCTGGGGTTCATCCATTCACCAGCCGTGTCTGGAGGCCTAGCTGGAGGCTGGCTGTGGGGCCCTGCTGGGGGCTATGGGGTGAGGGGCTGTGGTGGAGACCTGAGACTGGGAAGGCGCCCCAGGCAAACATGTAGGCAGGGCAGAGGAGCCCGCACAGGGAGAGGTCAGGGTGGGCTCATCTGACAGTCATCTGAGGAGGTGGGACCTCACTCCAGGAACCCTAGGCAGCCCCTCCCCACTGTTCCCAGGCTGAGCCATGGCCTGGCACCCTGAGAGATCAGCTGGGAGTTGGCAGGAGGTGGGGGCTGACTCCTCTGCAAACCCTGCACTCCTGAGGGACAGCTTGGTGGGGCGGTGCACAGCTTCCCCGGGAAAGCCAGTACCCCACCTCAGGAGCTCCCACCCTGGCCTGGAAGGAAGTGGCTGACTTGCTCTCACAACACCTAAATGCCATCTTGTCCCTTTGAAAGGATTTGGTTTGTCTAATGGGCTTTACCCTAAAATGACCAGCACGGGCAGAGCCATTTTTTCTTTTAAAGGGTTTCAGCGCGGTGACCTGGAGGCTACCTCCTAGCAGAGAGAGTCTCCACAGGGAGTGCTGAAGTCCTTGGACCTAGGAGGGGGGGCTAAAGGGGCAGCCCTTAGGAGGGAGGGCAGCACAGACACCCTTGGCTCTCCCCAGACCCCAAGCCTCATTAGGCTAAGCCCTGTTCGCACACCTCCTCCTAGGACCCCCACTTGCTCACCCACCCTCTTGTGCAGAGCTAAGGCCTTTGCCACCTGTAGCACGGGCCCCAGCACAGCACTCACAGGCCTCACATCCACCGTTCCCGCATGTGCTCCGGGAGAGGACATGGTCAGAGGGGTTCAGAGACTTGCTCAAGGTCACAGTGGGGAGAGAAGGTCTGACCCAGTTCTACTCCCAGACCAATGTTCCTGGTGCCAGTTTCCAAGAGCTTCCGGAGCAGCTGGGTATTTCCAGTCTCTCCAGAAAGGGCACCGGGGTACCCATGGAGGCCAGCGCCAGTGGACATCACTCCCTGGCCTCCCTGACTACGGCAATTCTGCTGCTTGTGGGTCAAATGTGCAGGAAGTACTCACTTCACCAGTAAGTCAAGGTGGACTCACTTGTGGGCCAATGTTGGTACTTTAAGGTTAGGATTTTCCTTGTGCTGTCGAGACACAGATGATCTAGTGAGGGTTGGAATGACGTTTTCCATTATCCTGCGTCAGGGCAGAACTATGTACCTGTCGCTGTCAAAGAGTTTATAGGATGCAGCCACAGCAGAAAACTGTTGACAGCTACTTGTGACCCACCAATTGCACCTGTAGGTGTGCACGCAGCAAATGCACCCCTGTCCACCACCAGCAGGTTTGTGTTAGAATGCTCCAAGCAGCTTTTGTGGTAAGAGCAATAAACAGACACTGCACAGACGGCCCTGAGCGGGAGGCTAGAAAGAGCACAGAGCTGTACATCAGAACACCACCCCTCCATCCCCTGCGACGAGGTGAGTCTCTGCCACTATGGTGGGCCACAGACACCACGCTCAAGGAATACAAAATGCCCCCGGCTGCGGGAGGGTTCTAGGTTCGGAGCTGAGCCGGAGCCCAGAAGCAGATGTGTACAAAGAAGCGCACCACACTGTTCACTTTTATTGCTCTTTACTATGAATGCTCAACCTCAGAAGTTTACTTCAGAAGCCACATCTGATGCTCAGATACAAGGAATCCACTACTCTGTGGCTCAGGAGCTGGCAAGCTAACCCTGCCTGCAGCCTCATTTAATATGTCTAAAGGGTTATTTAAAAAAAAGAGAAACTAAATGTAACCGGCAAAGCTAACGGAGCTGCTATTCAGACCCTCAGAGAAGGCCTGCATGCCTGTCCCTGGACTCTCTGCCATCCAGGCTGTCTGGAGCCAGCTCCTGCTGGGAGCAGGGTCTTCCTCTTGGAGCCCCGACTTGTGACTTATGGGGGCTGTGGGCCGGCCAGGCGGGCATCAGGCCCTGGGCTGCCATGAGCCACCTGCCCAGGGTCTGATGCCCCTGGCCCTGCTCCCCGTTCTCTTGTGATTCCCAGCTTTTCTAACCAGCACAGGGAGGTTAGCACAGTGGCCCCTGATTAATCAGCCCCACCCAGGGCTCTCCTCCTGGACCACTGCAGGCCAGGCTTACTGTGCCCTCAAGGGAAGTCAACCCCAAGAGGGAACACAAGCTCCCCCATAAAATAAGACACTAGAAGTCTCCCACCAGCCGCAGTGCATGCATGGCACCTAGCAGAATGGCATATATGGCTCATTATGTTTAATTACATATTATTTAAAAGCCAGAATCCACTAAAAGAAAGCATTACATTAGCAGCCCGCCAGTATTTGCCCACACACAGCAGAAATTGTGGACTTTTATGTCTTAATTATGTGATGCTGCCATGGCTTCTGCTCTCAGGGAGCTGGGCAGATAGGAGGGGACCTGCCCAGGCCCCTGAGCAGCTCTGCTCGGTGCAATGGGCTGGGCAGGAAGGGAACCTGCTCCACAGCCGGCCAGTACCCTCTGACCTGTGGGCCTCAAAACATTACACTACAGAAGCTGAAGTGAGAAACCCAGCAAAGCCACGCTCCACCGCAGTGGGACAGCAGCAGAGATGAGGCAGGAAGGGTGAGGGACTGTCCTGCCTGAGCAGACCCTGCTAGGACGAAGCAGAACAGCCTCCGACCCGGACGCTGGCAGAGGAGCCTAGGAGGAGATGGGGGACACAGCAGTGCAGTGACACACAGAGGACGGAGGCGGAAGCAGTCCTAGAGAAAAGGGACAGAGGACACAAAGTGGGGGTAGGGAGGCAGCGGACAGCTAGGGGGGACTGGGTCGCCTCGGCAGTGTGCACTTGGGGGACCCTCTATGCTGTGACTTCGGGTGACTGCTGCAGGTTCGACTCATCTACAGTGTGGCCTGGGGCAGGTCTCTCTACCTGCCTGAGCCTCAGTTTCCTTATCTGCTCTCTTCCACTCACCCCTTCCCCTACATTGGCTCCTCTCTCTACTCTGGACCCCTCCCTCTCTTCACCAGTCCAAGTAGCTGCTCACCTGCTTCAGAAACTCACCTGCTCCTTGTCTCTGCTGTGTAAATAGCCATGGCTCCCTACTGTCCATGTCACAGCCCAGCAGAGCAGATGAGTCCATCCTGACTGGGACCCTCTGCACTTTAGCCAGCTTCAGGCATTCCCAGCTCTCCCATACCTCCACGCCACTGTCCATGATGTCCCCTAGATGCTCTTGACACTTGCTCCACTGCAACTCCTACGCACTCATCAAGGTCCCACCTACTATGTCCCCATCACTGACTCTGCTCCATCCCCTGCAGTGAGTTGCTCTGTTCTCTGAGCAGACAGATCTTGGCTGCTGTCCCCAGAGACTATTGCAGCAGGGCTCCACCCTGCCACTTTACCTGCCAGCGCCTGTGCTGGAGGAAGAGGCTGGTTTCCTGCCTGCTGTGACCCCCCATGCAGGCCTGGTCTGAGCAGGCACCCAGGAAATGGCCACCCAATGATGAACAAAGCGCAGGGTGCCACCTGTCATCAGCAATTCCTCCCCTCGGGCCCTGAGCTGAGTGCAGGGAGTGAGTGAGAGCAGCATCAAGGCGGTTCTGTGCATGCGGCCTGGACAGTCCCACAGGGACAGCCTTCATCCTGGTTGAGGGAAAGGGGTGGCAGACGCCCCAGCACAGGCATTCAGCAAGAACCACCTCCTACCACCTCCTCCAGGCACACGGGGCCGGAGCCTCTACCCGGTGCTGCTGGCCAAGGCGACAGGGTGTGGCCTGGCCAGAGGAGTGAGAGGCAGGGCTGCCCTGGGCTCCTCTGCCTCTGTGCCTGGGCAGGGCTGGACCGAGGTTCCCACGATGGGAGGCTGCTCACTGGCGGGATACCAAGAGACCTGGTGCTGGGGCTGCCCAGTGCCAGGGAGTTCTGGGGACTGGGAACTGGCATCTGAAAGGCGATGGCAACTCTGGCTGTGCTGGCAGAGCTGGAGGAAAAGGACAGGGAGCACTGACTCACTGGGGGTCCCGTGTGAGCATCCCAGGGGGCATCATGGACAGTGGCATGGAGGTGTGGGAGAGCTGGGAATGCCTGAAGCTGGGTGGCTCAAGTGCAGAGG